ATCTAATAACCACTACCTGGCACCCTTCTTCCCTTAAGTGCTGAGCATGCCGGCACCTGACTTCAGCTATATTTCAATCTGGAAATTGCCCTTGTTGAACAGAGCTGAAGGTCATGATTGCTCAAGTTCATGCTTTCTCGGAGCAGCCTAATACTGTGACCATCTGCTAAGGAGCCTGACCATGCTGCCCTATCCATGACAGCTTCACCGACTGTCCTAGCTCTGTAACTCTTCTGTGAAGCTCCGAGGTGTTTATGGTAACTGGTTACGACCCAGCTTGTCCTTCTGCCCCGTTTAGATTCAGCTTCTCTCCTTCACGGTACAGGTGTTGATCCTGAAAGCGAGCTTCATGCACACAGATGTGCAGCTGAGTCTGCACCCCGGGACACCGCATAGCAACACTTGCTCCCAACAGCCCTTGCTTATTTCCATCACATCTCTACGCTGCTATCCCATAATTACCTGTTTACTCAAGTGTCTGTGTCTAAATATAGTCAGCAACGCGAGAACAGGAATTCAATCTTATCTTTTTTATCTTCGTTTGCTTTTTCTCCTAATTAAGTCCTTCTGAATAAACGAGTGTATAAATAAAAGCAAGAGAGATCGCCATCTTTGAAAGCCATGTGGAGAAGAGGGGGATATTCCTAAAATCAGTTCAGTCCTTCCTGAACCATATTTCTTTTTGGAATAGCCCCATAAAATCCGGATTATCTTTCCTCAGATATGTTTTAGGTTTGCTGCTTTTCATGCTTCGTGAAATTGTAAGAAGTATGGATTCGAAGGTCTGGACTTAGCAGCTTGGATTAAATTCCCACAGCACTGTACACTAGTTGTGAGGTTTGGGGAAATAGTTCTTCATGCTTCAGTTTACCAGGATAATCTAGCCCATCGGCATTGCCCGGTAGTTAATAAACGAGGCAATACTGTATAAAGTGATGGTGTATAGCAGCTATTTAGTAAATTTTTTATTCTCCGTCTCTCCTGTTTCTTTTTAGATTGAACTCACCCTTTATAAGAGCTTGCAAGGAAATGAACCATAGTGGTTCGGTCCTCCCGAGGCGTTTCATTGGCTCTCGCTGTCGTTTTTCTCCCCACATGCCCAACCCATCATTCTCCGCCACCCCGTGCTTATTTTAGAAGGGAAAATGTGTGACTGACGGCATCTACTCAGCCGCGCAAGTCCCTGCTTGCCACAGGCTTTGCCATTCATTTGTGAGATGGCAAATACGCCGGTGGCGAGGCGTGTGGCTAGGTGTGTCTGAGAATGAATCAAAGGTAAGGGTGTGACATGAATGGGTTTCCATGAGGTGGGGGAGGAGCTAAAATGATTAACATGGGCCCCAGTGAAAAGTTAAAGTGTCTATAGCAAAGTACTTCGAATCTGGGTGCCAATTCATCCATATTTTCAGTTTTCTCCCTCTCAGTATTTGAAAAACAATCACATTTCTCATTTCTCTCTCTCTCTCTCTCTCTCTCTCTCTCTCTCTCTCTCTCCCTCCTTCTCGTTTTTTTTTTTTTTTTTTTTTTTTTTTTTGAGACGGGCTCTCTGCATAGCCTTGACTTGCAGACTGGCTCTGTAGACAAGAATGGCCTCAAACTCACAGACATCCATCTGCCTCTGCCTCCAGGTGCTGGGATTTACAGGTGTGCACCACCACCACTGCTTGTTTATTTGTTTTTTTATTTAACATGCATGGATATTTTTTTGCTTGTGTGTCTGTGCACCACACACATGCAGTGCCCTTGGAGTCCAGAAAAGGACACGGTCTCCTTTGAAATCGGAGTTGCAAACAGTTGTGGGCTGTCATGTGGGTGCTGGGATTGAACCTGGAGCCTCTGCAAAATCTGCAAGTGCTTTTAACTGTTGAGCCCTCTCTGCAGCCCACATTACTCTCTTGAGGTTAAGTGGGCCATGTGATAACCTCTGTTACAAGTAGAAGGAAGTATTTAAAACCAGCGATAAGTTCTTAAAATCAGTCTTAAATGCCCTGAATATCTCCCAGGCCTGGAATAGATTAGGAGAGAAAAAGACAGGAGTGGGGGGTGGGGAGGGCGATGATGACACACATGAAGAAACAAGAAGGAAGGTTGAGAAGAGAAAAAGAAATTTTCTGTTGTTTAAAACTGTAAATTTTAGCCTTTTCTGATAACATTGTAGCTGAGGAAAACTCAAGACAACCCAAGTGAACAGGAGTCTCAGGAAAAGCAGGGATAGCTGACTGTCTCAGAAGGCAGAACTGGAAGGTTCTTCAGATTTCTTGTTGTCCATCAGTCCATCTCTATTGCCCCATGCTAGAGTGACTTAGCTCCTCTATCCCAGTCTCTCAGCTGGGTCTGCCTACATCAGTTCCCACTTCCAGTTGCTAGGTGACTTTCAGTGCAATTCTGTATCCTTATACTTCTGCATCCTTGTAAAGAGATGGGACCTAATTAGCCCCTTTGGACATCCCCTAAAAGTGTTCTTGACACAGATTGCTACAAAGGCTTAAAGGTTCTTAAAATTTGTTTTTTTTTGGGGGGGGGGATCAGGGATACCTTCTACACAGACCCATTGACAGTAGCCGCGAGGCATGGAATATAAAACATGGCTACTAATGCTTCCCGGAATTGGAGGCCTCTTCCACCTGACAGAAGCTCTTAATTGGAGCCCGGTGAGACAGGCCTTCCCATGTGGTACACATCATATCAGCTTGTCCAGTAAACTAAGATGCAGAGTCTGCAGGTCAGTGATACACAGACAGTCCTCTATCTACTGAGCATACAACTGATTAAACAGATATCTTGGTCTTAACTGGAAAATTGACCAGTGGCTCCTGAGTTGAGTCAATTTTTTTTTTTTTGTTGAGCTAAATAAGACGAAAACTAGGCACCATGACCCATGGTCAACAGCATAGACTAGTCTTTTAGATCAGTTTCAGCAGGAGCCACTCAACGGTGAGAGCACTTGGGGTGACAATATTCACAAACAGAATGATTGCTTTACGGCAGTGGAGTACTCATTAAGACTGTTTTGATGTTAAAGCATACATTGCAAACTGTTTCACTTCCCCTTTGACATTGGTTAACTACACATATGAAATAAGAGCGTGGCAGTTTGAATGTAATTGGCCTCCATAATCTCATAAGGAGCGGCACTATTAGGAGGCGTGGCTTTGTTAGATGGGTTTGGCCTGGTTGAGGGAAGCATGTCACTGTGGAGATGGGCCTTGAGGTTTCCTATGCTCAGGATCCTGCCCAGTGTCCCAGGAGACTTCCTGTTGACTACGGGATGTAGCACTCTCAGCTCCAGCACCACATCTGCCTGCACGCCACCATCCTCTCCACCAAGATGATAATGGACTGAACTTCTGAACTGTAAGCCACCACCACGGCTAAATGTTTGACTTTATGAGAGTTGTCATGGTCATGATGTCTTTTCATAGCAATAAAAAACCCTGACTAAGTCTAAGAGTTTCCTTTGGCCCTTAGAATAGCCATTCTGCTAGCAACAGTTCCAGGAACAATCTCTTTAAAATGTGTGGTCATCTGTTTGGCCTCCGCTTACAGAGTATGTTAATTTACTTTCTTCCTAAAGTATTTATCTCCATGTTAAACTCTTCTCTGTAATACTCTGCCTTCTTGATTTCACTTTCTCAGAGACATCTTTTAAGTTTTTTTCGAAGTACCCACTGGCTTCAACCCCTTAACGGTTACGCATCCAGCTGCCAGTCAAAACCTCCACTTGGTCTCTGCTACCTCAGTTTAGGATTAAGAAGAAATAATCTAGTTAAATTACTATAAATTAAGCTATCGATCAGAGGAAGCTAAGGAAAATGTAGAATTATGAAAATCATAGATTTCGCTACTCTTCTTGAAATGTCTCATGTTGTCTCAGACTCTTTTGACACTGACTGCAGAGTGGAAGGCTCTGCACTAGTTCCTGACCACACGTGGTGAGATCTAGAACAGGGATTGTGACTCTAATATTTAAGAAACCATTACCATAATCTTACATAATTTAAGATTCTGTCATTTATAAAAACGTGTCCCTATTTTAGGGCTATTAAAAATAGTGTGTCATAGATTCTCCTGAAACATGGTGCATCACTGGGTGGTAGCCCATGCAAAAGGAAGGGAGAGGGAGCAGCATGAGTGTGGAGTTTTGACACCAAACTTACCTTCTGCTACGGGAGCTTGGGACTGACCTGTCAGTGCCGAGAGGCGGCAGAATCTTCTAAGAGTTGGGGTTTTATGGGAAGAAGGGGAGCCTTTGAGGGTACCACCCCCTGAAGGGATTAATGTCACCCGTTCATATGAGTGTGGATGGTTGTAAGGTAAGGCCACCTGCTTTCTTGTCCTCTTCTTCGCTCGGTTGTTTCTCTTCTGCTTCTCCAACGTGTCATGACTTTGACCCAAAGGGGTCCCCAACAGAAGATAAAATGATGATCTTGTATTTTTATTTTCCAAAATATACTACCTTTATAAAAGACCCAACTTCACGTATTTTGTTACAGCAAATATAAATATACTAAGACAGTTTCTAGTCTTATCACTTATGGCTATATAACCTTGGGCAGAGCATTACATGTCTATTTTATGTAAGCAAGGAAAACAATATGTTTTATATAAGATTTTGTAGGTGAAAGTGCCTCACACGTAGTAAGCACTCGGGGCCTGTTAGCCGAATTTGAATCTACGTTCTTTCAAGTGCCATTGGATAATTTTAGGGGAAAGACTCTTGTCCTATTAGATAAAGGATTACAGAGTAAAAAGCCAGGTATGTCTGCATACCCTGTAACCTAGCACTCACGAGATGGAGGCAGGAGGATCATCCATTTGAGGCCAACCAGGGCCATGTATTGAGGACGTGTCACACACATAAAAACAAGCATAAGAGAATCCGGATTGGACTGGCCTCTGGACCTTTTCCACCACTACCGAGGTGATGGTAACTGGCCTTTGTTTCTCCTCGGGTTCTTTTTCTACATTATTATACTGTTAGTCTCCCACTTTTTTATCAGGCGCTGGCAGTGAAAATTCAAACCAGGCGTGGCAGCATCCACAGATTACAGCTCAGTAGTGAGGAAAAGAAATGCAAGCTAATCGTTGCTTGCTTTAGAAGAAGCCAGCTCCTCTAAAGGTGGGTTCCTGATGTCTTCTACAATTTGTAAAGTGCTGTGGACGTGTGAGTGACTTAAAACAACCTTATCAGAAATAAAATTTTCCTTTTTAATGTCTCCTTGGCACCAAGACACATTTTACCTTTCTTCTGTTCCTGCTCTCTGCATCTGCTTCCTTCTTTGTTTAGCATGTAGAGAAAGGGAACCTTTAAGCAAGAAACAAGGAGTGTGCATGTAGCATCTGAGTCAAAATTAGTAGGCATAATTTTAGATCTACCTGTTTCTGTAGTGCCTTTGGCTGTGAAATACTTACCTGTCTATAGAAGGCGCAGTTTTCTATGTGAAGCAGTAAGGCAAAGAGGGAAAAACACAGCCCGAAAGATCACAATAAATTTAAATTTTGGCTTTACTAGTTTTCTGGGTAAGTCACTTAACCATACTGAGCTTTGGTTTCCAATAATGATGACATTAATAAGTATATGTGGTGAGCCTTTAATAAATATTATTATTTTTAAACCCCAACTCGGCTCTTAGATAACTGTGCAAATGCCTTAATAGAAGGTAAGCATATTATTAGGGGCAGAGCTGACCTGACCACATTAAACAAGTAGATAGTTATTAAAATTAGCTTGACCCAGGATACCTATTGGATACAAGTAATTCAGATAGCACTGTCAACTCTGAACACCAAGGTGGGTACAGTTTGAGCCTCATGGCTGTATAATGCTGAAGCCTAGTTTACAATGTGGAAGAGAAATTTGAAATTCTTTGGGATCAGGTACTGTGTCAAAGTAGGAGATTTCATATCTGACTAGAGTTGACAATAGTGATTTTTGATATTAGTGTCAATATCTGGACCCTTTCGGTTTTAGGAAACTCCATTAATGGATGGATGTAGGACCCACTTCCTACCAATGAAACGCAAGGCCAGTTTCCATATTCCTAGGAATAAGGGAGCATCCCTGTGATCTACTGTAGAAGCAAAGCCGATGAACAATTTATTCGGATAGAAAGGATCATGGCAGAGCACTCAGGTCAGTGACATCAGTGTCTAGTGCTGTGGAATATTTGTTTACACCGCGTGAAGATGCACCTATGATCTGCCTCACCTGCCTAAGGCACCTGATTGGTTTAATAAAGAGCTGAATGGCCAAGAGCGAGGCAGGTGGTACTTCTGGGGAGAGAGAGGAACTCAAGGTTAGAGTCTGCTGTGGGAGGAGATGCTAGCGAGACACGGAGGGAGTTGGACATACAGAATGGAGGAGCGGTAAAGAGCCACGTGGCAGGTCATAGATGAATGGAAACAGGTTAATTTAAATTATGAGAGCTAGTTGGGAACAAACCTAAGTTAAAGGTCAAGCTTTCATAATTAATAATAAGTCTCTGTGTCATTATTGGGGAGCTGGTGGTCCCAAAAGAAAGTCTAACTATAGTTCAGGGTTGCCCAGAATTGGTAATCATGTCCTGTGAAATACAGAAAATATTAATGATAGTGAACCAGAAAAGCCAGGCATGTTTGGCTGTTCTAATCGCTTGGCCTTCCTTGGTTCTGGTTTATTTCATTTTTCTTTTCCTTTCTCTTGTCTCCTTCCTTTGTTCCTTCCCTTCTTCCTTCCTTTCATTCTCATCCCTTCTTTCTATTCTTCTCCCTTTCTGTGTGTGTCTATCTCTCTTTTAGATAGGGTCTCACTTCATAGCCCAGTCTGACTTCAAATTCACAGTCCTCCTGCCTCCTAAATGCTAGGATTGTAGTTGAGCATGCTCAGCTCTCTGGCTCGTTTCTTTTAGTTTTTAAAATAGGTATTGTTTTATGTGTGTGAATGTGCATGTCTGGTGTCCAGGGAGACCAGAGGAGGAGTAACAGATGGGCTGTGGACTGCTCTATGGGTGCTGGGAGCAAACCCGGGCCACCTGCAAGAGCAACAAGTAAACTACCGAGCCAGCTCCGGAGCTCCTCTGGCTCAGTTTCTTGAACCTGGTTCTTGGGACTTCTTATCCATCTTTGGAACTGTCTATTAGTACACAGTATACCCGTTGCCCATTGAAGAGAAAGTCCATTTCAGCCATCTCTCTCTAACTCTTGACTACATTAGGGCAAATGGAAGAATCCCAGTGTTTGGGCAAAGTGGAGACAAAAGCTACCACTTTCCCAGGAGGCAATGGGAGAGAGTTCAGTGACAATGCAGGTGGTCCAGATGGGAATGGATAATAGCTGTTTGTTACTGGGGCCCTCCTACATGAATATACTGCCTAGTCAGAGCTCCTCTCAAGAACCAAGATCTCAGCTGGTAATGAGAAGGCAGATTCTACTAAGGAATACTTCCCTAGGGAATAATCTAAGGCAGCAGAAATGTCCAGACTCCTGATACAGAGGGCAGAACTGAACCAACATAATGATTTCAGGTCACTCCCACCTCCAGGTTTCCTTCAAGGACAGAGTCAGCGAGAGAATCAGAGAGTGGTGCCAGGTTTCATGTCTGCTGACTTGTTTCTGGGATTTATCCACAGCTTGAGCAGCCTTCTCTCCTCTGGGAAGAGGAGGTAGGAATCCTAACTGGGTTCCCGAGGAGTCTTGATTGACTCCAGCCAGAGCTGATGAGACAGCGCGCTCCAGAAGAGGACAGTGGGAGGGAGACGCAAGCTCTGGAACTGGAGACCAGGTCCCTACTTACAGGTAACCTTACACACAGGACAATAGCCAGGAGGCTAGACTCTGGAGTACTGAAGACAGGTAGGGAAGGGAGTATCAGAAGTGTGTGCAAAGAGGTATGAGAGGTGGTAGCCATGGGGTCTCCAACTGCATGCCAGAGTAACTGGAGAGACCTTGACAGCCCAGGCCAGCACAGTGCCTGCAGCTGCCACTCGACTTTTCTATATATGTAAAAAATAAAAAAATAAACAAAGAAGTCTGAGACAAAGGCCGGATGCTCTTAGTTACATGAGCTCAAATGTTACATATGCTCATCATATGTGCCCTGTTACATGTACTTAGTTGCTACATGTGCCGATTGCTATGTACTCAATCACGTGTGCTCAGTTGTTTCCGGCACGCTGTTGTAACATGTGCTCAGTTACGTGTGCTCATTGCCTGTACATACTGCAGTTATAGTGGTGGTGGCTGCAGCGGGATGGGCTGCTTCAAGGCGTTCCCAGAACCTAAACCGTCTCTTCTCAGTCACAGTGATGATAAATAATTATCAATTATTTATTATAAGTACCGTATAATTAGTAACCATGTGTGTTATTTATAATAATAAATACAGTTTTGTCTTCTGATACCATGCCAGGAACGTGCTAGCCTTTAAGAGGCAAAACTCACTGCAATCTAATCAAATGCTTCATATATAACTATGTGTGTGTGTGTGTGTGTAATGTAACTTTTCCAAATAACTGCATATAAAGCAATATATTGAAACAAGCATTCGTCTCAGCTTCATCTTGAGACAGAAGGTGAACACTATATAAAAGCAAGTTGGGTACCCCTTCATCCCTTTCCAAACTGACACCTGGACGAGGAGCCGTAGCATCACAGCTTCAGGGAGGCCAGCTCTTCAGGAGGGGATCAGTGGCTTGGGGCGCGGTGATCACATCTAAGGCTATCTCCCCACCAAACCTGCTCTCCTGGCATGCTTGCCAAATGCACACGGCCCAGCTCTTCTGATCGAGCGGAGAACAGTGCAAGGACAGTCATGTGGGATGATGGTGTGGGTGAGGCGCTTTGTCCTGGGAGTCCTTCAGCCTCCGTGCACACTAGGACGGTTGAAGAACACTTTCTGTTCCCTGCGTGGGATATTTTTAGAGCCTTAGCTGCCTCAAAGTAGAAAATAAAACTCAACAGGATTTTTTAGCTTGTTTTTCATTTCTATGTTTCCTTGGCAGCCGTAATATTATACATAGTAAATATCTAGGGTAAACCAAGCAGTTCACAGGGAGAAATGATATTTCACACCTCTATTTTGGAATTATGTGCAAAATCTGCCACATGCCTCATGTTGAACATCACATAGTTAAATTGCTAATCGTTTCAGTGTGGTGAACTACAATTAAATTATTAGTCAGGGTCCTACTGCATTGGAATGTTTGATTTCTCAACTCAGATCAAATGCATAGAAAAAGTCGCTGCTGTACAAGTCTTTTATCACAAAACTATGCAGAGCCGTGAAAACCGGAATAACAATGGCTTCAACCTGAGCGAATGACCAGAGAGCTTAGATCCTCTGTCTGAAGCAACACAGCTATACTCATGGGAATTAGGAGCCTCTACTGGGAGAGTAAAACTAAAAGGCTCCCGCTTTTCAGTGGCTGGGCACTACAATTCGGGGGCCTCCGGCAGATATTAGCCGTGCCTAAAATTTCCCCTTGGGGCTAAAAGCACTGATTCAACCAGATGACAGGCAATAGAGCACCCACCTCCCTTTGCCAGCTGACTGTAGAGGGGTACCCCACCTCCCTTTGGCTCTGGCTGCAGTGGGGTACCCCACCTCCCTTTGCCAGCTGATAGCAGAGGGGTACCCCACCTCCCTTTGCCAGCTGACTGCTAGAGGGGTGCCCCACCTCCCTTTGCCAGCTGACCGCCAGTGGGGTGCCCCACCTCCCTTTGCCAGCTGACCGCCAGTGGGGTACCCCACCTCCCTTTGCCAGCTGACCGCCAGTGGGGTACCCCACCTCCCTTTGCCAGCTGACCGCCAGTGGGGTGCCCCACCTCCCTTTGCCAGCTGACCGCCAGTGGGGTGCCCCACCTCCCTTTGCCAGCTGACCGCCAGTGGGGTGCCCCACCTCCCTTTGCCAGCTGACTGCCAGAGGGCTACCCCACCTCCCTTTGCCAGCTGACTGCTAGAGGGGTACCCCACTTCCCTGTGGCTCTGGCTGTTCCTTACTTTTCTTCTCTCCCCATTGCTTGTTATCTTGTTTCCCTACTCCCTCCCCGCTTCCTTCTCACTCCCCTTGCTGTTCTGTCTCCTGTTTCCTCCATCTTTTGTTGCAGTCTTTAAGCCTGATCTCCTCTCTTTCCTCCCCATCTCGTTCTTCCTCATTTCTCTCAAGGCGAAACTGCACAGCGTTTATTAGCAGCATATGCTCGGAAAAGTAGATTAAGGCTTCCAATTCTGGCTTTCCTTGTGCTAGCTAAGCTACTTACCTTTACCTGATGCTATTACCGTGTATTTAGATCGGGGTTGAGATGGAGAAACAGAACCTTCCCCGTGGGAGACACTGGGAATGAAGGTCTAAAGAGGCTACTGTGTGAGGGAGTGAGGCACCCGCTAGTCCCTTGAGAAGGCAGACAAGTCCAACCAGTGAAATGGGATTGCAGACAGGAGCTGGTCGAGGATCCATGGAGGGTTTCACATTCAAGCATTAGGTGATGCTATTTTTTATCCATGGTGCCTGAGATTTCAAAAACCTTATCAGGATGTGGAACAAAGGAAGCAGACAGCCAGACCTGCTGACCCCTCTGTCTGTCCAATACTCAATTTAACTACATGATCTTCAGAAAGCAATGACTGAGCTTTCCCTCTGTCTTCCATATCTCATGCAAATTCCACTTTGGGTTAATCGAAACCCAGAATCACACAAAAAGAAGATTCTGGAGAACCTAAGTTCTCATTCAATTTAATTGGTGGAGTAAAACAAAACTCACCACACGAGTAATTTTCAAAATAGAGTTATCAGTGATAACGGATATCATAAACGATGCTGTGAAAATTTAAACAAAGTTAACTACATGAGAAGGAAGTACTTTACTCAGAGACATACAGTGAGCACCCAACAGACGCCATTCATGATTTTCTCTCCATCTCAGCCCCTCCTGGGAGCTCTGGCTGAGCAACATCACCAAGTCTCTGAGCATCATTGCCGTGTGACCCGTGTGCAGGATGATTGGAAAGTGGAACAGAAAGATATTGCGTATTATTTTCTAGGTTGTGTATACGGTGACTCTTCAGGCATCAATGGTTTGGTGTTTTTAACAGCCTGTGGACCAGGTAGCATCACCATTCACGTGAAAACGCCATGAAAAGAAGAAAAGAAAAAAAGGAAATTGAAGGAGAGAGTACAAATCCCTGCCCTAAATACAAACTGTCTCCTGAAGCAAAACCCCAAATTTTCACCCCCAAAGCCTGTACTCAGTGGGCCTGCAGTTCAATACTTTCAAAAGTAGTAAATGTTTCAGATGGCACCTACCACAGTCTCCACCCATCTTTCCGTAGCGTCTGTCTCCCAGCCGTGCTCATTCATCATTACCTGCCACATCTTAGAGGGCAGGCGGGCTTCCAAGCCCTGGTCCCTAGGAGGACAAATTAAGAAGAGGTGGGCTGGTCCTGATATCCACATGGAAATGAGCGGACAAGGAGTACAGGCTTTCAGTTCTGTCCTTTTTTACTTATCTGCCCTCTGCTCTCCCAGCCATTCCCCAAAATCTTTTACAGATAAACTTGCCCCTAGCTTCACCCTCTGCGAAGCAAGACCTGAACTGTTCACAAGGCCAAGTGGGCAAATGGCACAATCTTATCTTTGTCACATGTGACATCTATTTTGAAAAAAAAAATCCTGAGACATAAAGGATGGTTGCACCCAGGAAAAGCAGACTTGCCCCCAAGCAGGTGCAGGTGCATTCCCCGCAAGTGCACTTGCGAAGGGCTAACAGAGTGCTTTTCCCTTTGTGGAGCTCGAGGCTCGAAGGTGAGCTCTTAGGGAAACACTCGCTTTCCTAGAGTTTGGAGGATGTATAGCATGAAGGGTTGAAGACACCAGAAGATGAAGAGTGATGGTGTTTGGATGTGGTGGTAATCATTTCTAGCATACGAGGGATACTTATCAACAATAATGCAGGTAGTGCTGGGTGTGGAGGGTGGCCTGACTTGGAGTCCAAGGCCAGCCTAGGGGCCAGAGCGACACTTAACTCAGGGCAAATCATTAATTTAAAGTAGTGCTGTGTTCAATGTTTAACTTCACTGAAACCAGAAAGTGCAAGGAAATGACTTGTCCAAAAGCTGGGTTTGGCATTGTATAATAAAACTGGCAAGATTTAAAGCATATCATTTAAAATTAATATGCTTGATAGAATCTTCCTTTTTCTATGGTGCTATGCTGATAAATGGGATTATATTTGTGGGAAGGATGCCACTTTTTTCATTCCTGGCCACTTAGCCCTGAAGTAATGACACAGAAACCATATTATTTAAATCACTGCTTGGCCCATTAGCTCTAAATTCTTATTGGCTAACCCTTACATCTTAATTTAACCCATTTCCATTAATCTGTGAATTGCCACGTGGCAGTGGCTTACCAGGTAAAGTTCCCAGCATCTGTCTCTGGCAGTGGCTCCATGGCTTCTCTCTGACTCTGCCCTTCTTTCTCCCAGCATTCTGTTTAGTTTTTCCCACCTAGCTCTGTTCCCCTCCAGCTCTGCTATAGGCCCAAGGCAGTTCCTTTATTAACCAATGATATTCACAGCATACAGAGGGGAACCCCACATCATAGATTCATGCCTACTAAGGAGAGACGTGGAACTTTGGGACTGGCACTTGCAGGTGTCTCCTGGTGTGCTCGTCCTGGATTGTGTACTGGATTCTGGGAGTGAAGTACAGATTCTTTACATCTTAACTTTTCTCTTATGCGTCTCTGGATGTTAGAGTACTAAATGAATTTTGCTAGGGATCAGGGAATAGAATGATGATTTACCACATGGCTAGCATGCACAAACCCCTAGTTTTATCCCCAGCACAAGGGTCTGGGGGTGGGGAGGGTTGTTTACTTGGTATTTCAATAAAATGACTACTTTTAGTTAAGTATAAATTTATAATTTTATTTTCTTAAGCTTTGGAACTTGGTTCTCAAAAACAAAATATCTGATTAAAATTGAAGAATAAGTTTAACTAAAATCATTGTTTTAATTTTTCATTGATTTTATTGAACTATGCATTCTTCTCTGCTCCCCTCCCTGCCTCTCCCCTCCTCTTCAACCCTTTCCCATGGTCCCCATGCTCCCCTATGCTCCCGGTTTACTCAGGAGATCTTGTCTTTTTCTACTTCCCATGTAGATTGATACATGTATGTCTCTCTTAGGGTCCTCATTGTTGTCTTGATTCTCTGGGATTGTGATTTGTAGGCTGGTTTCCTTTGCTTTATATCTAAAAACTACTTATGAGTGAGTATATATGACAATTTTCTTTCTGGGTTTGGGTTACCTCATTCAATATGATGTTTTCTAGCTCCAACTATTTGCCTGCAAATTTCAAGATATCATTATCTTTTTCTGCTGTGTAGTACTCCATTGTGTAAATGTACCACATTTTTTTTTATCCATTCTTCAGTCGAGGGGCATTAAGTTGTTTCCAGGTTCTGGCTATGACAAACAATGCTGCTATAAACATAGTTGAGCACATGTCCTTATGGCACAATTGAGCATCCTTTGGATATATACCCAAAAGTGGTATTACTGGGTCTTGAGGAAGGTTGTTTACCAATTTTCTGAGAAATGGCTATATCCAAAGGGGTTGTACCAGCTTGCACTCCCACCAGCAATGCAGAAGTGTTCCCTTTACCCTACAACCTCTCCAGCATAAGTTGTCATCACTGTTTTTGATCTTGGCCATTCTTATAGGTGTAAGATGGAATCTCAGAGTTGTTTTGATTTGCATTTCTCTGATGACTGAGGATGTTGAACATTTCCTTAAGTGTCTTTCAGCCATTTTAGATTCCTCTGTTGAGGGTTCTCTGTTTAGGTCTGTACTCCATTTTTAAATTGGATTATTTGTTCTTTTGAACACCAATTTCTTGAGTTTTTTGTATATTTTGGAAATCAGGCCTCTGTCTGATGAGGGGTTGGTGAAGATCTTTTCCCATTCTGTAGGCTGTCATTTTGTCTTGTTGACCATGTCCTTTGCTTTACAGAAGCTTTTCAGTTTCAGGAGGTCCCATTTATTATTTGTTTCTCTCAGTGTCTGTGCTGCTGAGGTTATATTTAGGAAGTGGTCTCCTGTGCCAATGCGTTCAAGTGTACTTCCCATTTTCTCTTCTAGAATATTCAGTGTGGCTGGCTTTATGTTGAGGTCTTTGATCCATTTGGACTTGAGTTTTGTGCATGGTGATAGATATGGATCTATTTTCATTCTTCTACATGTTGATATCCAGTTATGCCAGCACCACTTGTTAAATATGCTTTCTTTTTTCCATTTGATTTTATTGCTTCTTTGTCAAAAATCAGGTGTTTGAAGGTGTGTGGATTAATATCTGGGTCTTCGATTTGGTTCCATTGGTCCTCCTGTCTGTTCTTATGCCAATACCAGGCTGTTTTCAGTACTGTAGCTCTGTAGTAGAGTTTGAAGTCAGGGATTTGATGCCTCCAGAAGTTCTTTTATTGTCCAGGATTGTTTTGGCTATCCTGGGATTTTTGTTTTTCCATATGAAGTTGAGTAACGTTCTTTTAATTTTTTTACGTTTCTTTGTGTGTGTGTGTGAGTGTGTGTGGGGGTGTACACATACCACTGCACATGAAGTCAGTTTTGCAGGACCAGATCTGAGCCAAATACCACCATCTTGGTTCTTTAGCTGTATCCACTTGCAGAAGTTCAGACCCATTAAGCTTGTTGATGGTTTATAGCCCACAGAAGGGTGGGCAGGGTCCTGAGACCCTCACATGAGTATCCAGGCCCTCCATACCACCCGTTGTATGACACTCTGCCCTAACGGACTGTGACCTGGAGGAGGAGCAGGAGTATATTGGCCTAGAAGACTGGGGGAGGGAGTATTTTCAATTTCAGGATGTTTTCTGAGTGCTTAGAGAAGTATACAGAATAATAGACCCCTTGTAAACCAAATTATTTACTGGACATTTTGGAGAAATATGAAGTGTTTGGACTAAGTTCAATCAACTAGTGTGGAATAGTTTTTGAAAATGTCTAAGTCACACAGTTAATATTTAAAATGAAAGCAACAATAACAATCTGATTGATCATGTAAAAATAATATCCTCTCGGGGTAGAATTTTCGACTGACTTGAACAGCATGATCCAATAGAAATGTCTACAATGATAGAAATACTCTCTAATCTGCACCATCAACTATGGCTAAGCCACGGGTGACGCTAAGCATCTCACACGGGGGTCGTGCAACGGAAGAGCTAAATTCCAGTTTTAATTAGCTTAAGACCAAGTTTCACCACCCGTCTGCGGTAGGAGCTGCTGTGTTAAGCAGTGCAGTCCTACAGGGTTATTGCTGAAATCTCTCAGAGAAATCCCTTTAAGTTACTCCACTATTTTAACCAGTGTTTGCTGGATGTGTTTTTTTGTTCCAATCACCGAGACTATAATGGCATGGAACCCTAGCTTCATGGAAGTTAAGTAGTCTCCTGGATTAGATAAGTGTCAATCAAACGGTCTCACAGCCGGTGGGAATTAGAGGCTCTGAATGAAGGATGATTAGCCCTAGAGGCTGGTTTCTTTGAAGAAACCCAGGCTTTACGGCCTCTTTAAGGTCTTCTGATTTCTCCCATGGAAATGACCCGTGACCTAGGATCTGAAAGACATTTGACCTAGAAAAGGATGGATTCTATCAGCCGACGCCACAGAGATGAAACGGGGTGAGCAGACATAAGACTGGACATCTTTCGTACTGAGTACGTATGTGAACAAGTCCACTGATTCTCTTTAGAGTGGAGGTCATCAGAAGCATTAAAGCTGTGGGAACTGAACACAAAAGAGCAAGCCCCAGTGTATCCGGAACTTCCCAAGTCATTCTGACTCAGGCCTCTTTAAGAGCCTCTTTGTTATTAAGTAAATACACTTTTTTTTTTTAAAAAAAATTATTTCTTTAAAGAAATATTTTCAAGATGTTCTTGGAAAAATGCATCCCTACTGAACACTAGTTAGAGTTTGAATATAGAGAAATTGTGTCTCTTGAAACTATGCCACGTTAAACAACACTGATCCTGTCTGTTTAAATTTTCCCACTGCCCTCAGAGGAGAATCTGGGAAACAGTTGATCTGAGGGTTCAGGAAACGAAAGGATCCAAGAGGCTAATAAGTAG